CCCGCCCCACAGCCAGCCCTGTGCCCGCCCCACACTCACCATATCTGTGCTAGCACTGGCTGAGGTAACCCAGATTGGAAAAAGAAGTTCCTGGCTTGATCACCTGTAAAACAAACAGGACATGGCTTCAGCTCCAGCTGCCAACAGCTGGCAGAGGGAACGGGGCAGCAGGAGGAAAAGCAGCTGCAAGAGAAGCCCAGCCCATGCCATGACTGATGAGCATGTAACAAACAGAGCAATGAAGAGGAAGCCTCCTATTGCCTTTGAGACCAAAGTTTGATGAAAATTTATTAGGATCAGTGCAATTCCTTGATTTGGAGCTTTGCTTCCCACTGCTTCAATCAGTTCTGCGTTTGGATCTTTCCAAGAGGTCAACCATGCTGATGTCAGTGCTGCACAAATTGGATTTCTAAACCTGATTTCAGTTGAAATGACACACCTTTATTTAATCAGACCTTTTATTTATCATAATATTAGTGTGGTAGCTGACCCCAGGCACAAAGAACCCATCAGTGCCTTCCACAGCAGGATGGGGAATAGAAAACATCAGAAAATAACAGAAAAGTTGGGGCTGATGTGGCAAAATATGAGATGTAAAATAAGAAATGGGGCTGATGCGGAACAGTGAGATATAAAATAAGAAATACCTGGTGAAATTTTCTAATTATTATGCCCATCTGTCTCCCAGGCAGCTCTGTACACATTTGGCTCCCTAGCTAAGATTTAAGCAAACACAAGATGAGAAGTGGAAGCTGTTTGCTTACCAGTGATAAATCCAGCAGTTGGTTTCAGACTATGGAACTGTTGATCATGCTTTGCTCTCTCCTCCACAGTAATGGCCCAGATATCCAGGTTGCCTGGTTCAGAAGAAATGGAGAAATGGCACTGAGAAACATTCCCTGAAAAGCAGCCCCTTTTCCCTCTGAGTGTGATTATCTCAGCAGTCTGGGCTCCTCAAACAACCCAGGGGTGGGAGATCATTTACCCCCAGAGCACTCAGAGCTGAAATTCCAGTTCCTTTGCTGCAAAGGCACCTCTTCCCCAGTACCCCATCTGGCCTGCCCACAGGACAGGGAAAATGGCAAATCTCAGCCCTGGGACTGCTCTTTGTAACCCTCCTGCAGATCAGCTGCCAAAGCCAACTCCCAGGTCTGAGGGGACTGCAAGGAACAGGGAATGCTCACCAGAGCTGAGTGCCAGGGATGGGCCAGACCAAAGAGGGGAAATCTGGCTGAGTTTCACAGCAGGGATTGTTCCTGGCAGGNCCTCTGTGGGAACAGGGCAGTGTCACCCAGTGCCTCTGTGGGAACAGGGCAGTGTCACCCAGTGCCTCTGTGAGGAACAGGGCAGTGTCACCCAGTGCCTCTGTGAGGAACAGGCAGTGTCACCCAGTGCCTCTGTGGGAACAGGCAGTGTCACCCAGTGCCTCTGTGGGAACAGGGCAGTGTCACCCAGTGCCTCTGAGGGAACAGGGCAGTGTCACCCAGTGCCTCTGTGGGAACAGGGCAGTGTCACCCAGTGCCTCTGTGCTGCCACAGTCAGTAGCCCAGCAGCAGGTTGGGTTACTGGGATGGGTATTATTGGCTGTCATTATTTCAGCTCTCCTCTCCCTGCAGGGCCAGGAGATGCTCTGTGAGCCCCACTCCTCAGGGCTCTCAAGCAAGGCAGATTATTCTGCTTCAGCACAGTTATCTCCCAAGGCACTGCAGGCCCAGTCAGAGCCCAATTAGAGGCTTTTAATTGATCCCCAGCCTGGAGGAGCCTGAGCTGGTGAAGGGCACAGCAGCTGCCATGGCAGACCATAATACTTCACTCCTTTGCTCACTGACACTTCTTTCCTTGCATGAGGAGTACAAGGGACACAGGAATTCTCAATTTTAACAAAAACTGCTGTTTTGAAGGACTGTGCATTCTGGGGAAGCTTTTGTGGGCCCAGGAGTGAGGCACTGACCAGATTTATTCAGATTTATTCCCTGTGTCCCCCAGCTGGGAGGGACCCTCCAGCAAACTCAGGCCAGGCTTTACTCCCATTATTCCATTAAAGTGTAGCTAAGATCAGCAGAATGACCCAGAACAGGAAACCACCTCCAGAACAGCACAGACAGACAGACAGACAGCTCCTCAGGGACTGCCCTGCATCCCTGGCAGTGCCCAAGGTTGGACACTGGGGCTGGAGCAGCCTGGCACAGTGGGAGGTGTCCCTGCCATGGCAGGGGTGGGATAGGATGAGCTTTAAAATCCCTCCCAACCCAAACCATCCTGGGATTTCCCAGATCAGAAAATGAATTTTTACCAGTTTTTGTATAAGTTGGTGTGAGTTTTACGAGTTGTTTTAACTCAGAATTCCTTCCCTTCCCTGAGGACTCCTGCACCTCCCCTGCTCTCCCAGTACCAATCAAATGCCACCTCCCAAAGCCCAGCCCAGC